TCTCAATTTTGGCAGTTCTTTTCTAAAGTTTTTATCACTTATCATATACAGAGAGCTATCAATAATTCAATATGTTCTTGAGTTACTGCACCAGTAAATCAAGAGGACCACCATTTTTACCCTTTCAAACTCATGCTGGAGGTGCCAAAGGAAGCCACGATTAGATATAACTGGTCAACTACAAGAACAGATAAATCAATTCATATGGTGAATCCAGGATGTCTCTCTTTGAAAGCGATGAAGGATCGGTGAATTACGTTGATGCTTTAATAACCAAGATTGGGAAAGGCACAGCTTATGGTCTAGGAACAGAAAGAATATTTTTTTCTTATCCATAAATGGGATTTTAGAAAGACAATGTAGAGTCAATTTCAGAGGGGTTAAGGGCTGTCTTAAGTTGTAGTTAGCTGGAGCTCTTGCCTTCCACAAACTAAAGGGAAACCCCACATGAAATTTTTGTGGCCCCTCACCCCACAAAGTAGCTTTCATGAAATAAAGACAAGTTCCTTACGAACCAAAGTGTCTGAAAGAAACAATGATGAGGATTAATACATAAGAGGTCTTAACTAGAAGAGTCATAAGGCGAAAATGAGCTGGTCTTTTAGCAAAAGAGATTTGAAATTATGGTGATTAGTGATTGGAGTAACAATATATCTATGGGGTTCGTTTCTTTTTTTTTGTTTTGCTCTCAGGTACGTGGCCCATTTGGGGGAAGGAAAGGGAAAGAACATAAGCAAATGCATGGAAAAGTGGCTTTCCCCTTAACATTCTCTCACAAAAACCAAAATCAAAGCCCCTCTTGGATGGACCTGCCATTGTTGCCTTTAGTCACCTCAACAGTTGAAAGCAGATTCCAGGGCATTGAAGAGGAAGAGAGAGAGAGAGGGCGCAGGATTTAGCTAGGCTGGGCATCTTCTAGATATGGAAGCCCATAAAAGTGGCACACTTTCTTTATATTTTTCTCTTTGAAGCTCTTAAAAAATCACCCTTCCCTGGAAAGTATAATGATAAACAACTTTTCATTAAGGAATTGAGGTAAGCACTTTTGTCTCGAAGAAGCCTCCTAGGAGTGAGGGATTCAGTTTTTATGTTTTTTGGAAGAACAAAGATATGCTAAAGACTCGAGACATTTGCCAGCTTTTGTCCTCTTCAAAGTTCAAAACATGTTTTGGTGGGTCACTAACCCAAAGCCTAGTTCTGTAATTCAACCACCATTCCCTGCTGCAATTAAACACACAATCACCTTATAAAACTTCCATTTTTCTTTTCTGGAGCTTACAAAAACAGCATAGAAAAAAACACAAAAATGGGTCCCCCCTTTGCATGGGTAAAGAATATCGAAAAGGTTGAAAAAGGAAAAATACCAGCAATCCAATTACCCTGCATTGGTGCTTTGGAATGCTGAAAATCTTCTTCAGATGGGCCAAACCAAAGTTTATTAGGGTTAATTACAAGAGTATATACTATTCTTTATTGTTATTTTATTACTTAATCATGATTCTCAAATCATCAACCAGAACTTTTTTCCCACAAAGATACATATACCTCAGTGATAATATTGTTATTAGTTTGATCACAAGGCATTTCACGTTGTTGCTAGAAACATGCACATTCCTGTAACGTATCATGCTCACGACAAGCTGTAAAGAAGGCTGAAAGTCTTTCAGGATATGATCTCTCTTGCCCGAGGTTGATGCTCTCTTTTTGCCCCCCTCGGCCCTTTAGGGAGTTGATGTTTCCTTAGCATCGAAGCAATCTGATGTTTATGATCATGCGGTGTTCTTGTTATAATTAACCCCTAGTCTATCTATTAGGTGACATGACTTTATCACAGTTTAATAATCCAATGAATTCCCATGATTTCTTCGTAGTGAAACAGTATTTCCCCTTGATCTGCCACATGCATATGAGCACCCCAATTATATTATGTAACCACAAGCTAATAATTATGGTTTCAATTCTCAACCTTTCAACAGATTGCAGCAAAGGAAAAGTGAGAGAATTGGTTGAGCCGTGTAGTGCACAATGATTGCAGACTTTTAACACACATGCCAAGACCCATCACTTGGCACCAAAAATGAAATACAAATCAAAACAATAAGTTTAAGATAATAGTACTAAAATACTTAAAACAGAAAGAGAATGGGGGGGAAAACAAGTGAAGCTAAAGCCAAAAACCTTGTGAGCATCCAAGGCAATATGCCTCCAGAAAAAGTAATAGAAAGAAAAGCAAAAGGTGGAAATGAGGTGGAGATGTGGTGGGGTGGCATGGCTGAGGTATATGGGTGTGCGTGTGCAAGAAAAGTAAGGGTTTTCATCAGGCAAATCTCTCGCTTATCTCTCTCTCTCTCTCTCTCTCTCTCTCACACACACACACACACACACTCACTCACTCTCATTCTTCACTTTAATAGATGCTTGCCCACCATATCTTCTCCAACTCTTCTTTAAGTTTCCTTCATTGTTTTATTTTAAATTTTCCTCTCTCTTTTCTCTTTCTCTTTCCCTCTTTTCCATCCTTTTCTTTCTCCATTTTCTAGTCAGCTTAGAAACAACGCGTTCCTTGCGTCCCACACATTTTCTTCTCTTCTTTCTCTTTCTGTGTTGTGTGGTTTTTTCCCTTTTATGCCAAAACTAAAAAGTAAGCACTCATGCTTGTCAAAAGCCAATTATGGTAGGACCTCCATTAACGAACATAACATCCTAATTGGCTTCTTCCCTGTCTTCATGCTCAAGCCTCTCTCTCTCTCTCTCTCTCTCATAAATTTGGTGGAGGTTTGGCTCCACAGGGACTTTGCATGGATGACTTGGCTATATGGCCTCCAAACCAGCGTCTCTAATTTCATTTCTATCCCATCCTTCTTCTCTTATCTTTCTCTTTTTGTATTTTCGGAAAAATCCCACCAATGCTAAAGGTCAACCCGTACGTTGATTGTTTCTCAAGTCTTTTTCCATCTTTCATACTCCTTTTTATTCTTATTTCTCTGCTTGTTATCATAATTCAATGTGGCCAAAGTCCAATAAATAAAGAAAAAAAGAAGAATTTTTTATGAAATTAACAATGTTGGGGTGGCACACCAACACCAAACCAAGCCTTCCCAAACCTGGTGTAGTTCTTGGAGATGGACCCAAAGAAACAAAAATGACGTAAAGAAAAGAACAAAGAAGAAGAAACCGACAGAGATTTTGATTTGGGCAAACACATTTGCTTGGATTGGAGTTCTGTCATTTTTCCATGACATAGTGCTATAACAGACAACTCCATGTGAAAATTTTACAGGGTTTGGCAGCCTCTTGTGTACATGGGGGCTTTGTCTTTGTGATTGTTGCCTCCACGAAATAATTGGGTCACCGCCCTTTCTTGAATTCTTTTCTTCTTTCTCAGTTCTTTCAGTGATGAGATGGGAGAAGACTTCCTCTTCCATAACACTGTACTAATTATTATAAGTATACTATATATTTAGACGGCACAAAGAGTTGACCATTGATGATTGGTTGAATTCATTTTGCCGCTGAAATGTCTCTCTCTTGAATGATTGATGAATTAGGTGGGGATTTCTTAGTGTTTTGCCCCCCTTTGGATCCATTGTCTCTTACTAAGCTCTATGAGTTAGAACATGTTCAAACTCGAAAAGCCATCTGTATTTTCTTTAGTAAAACCAATCATCTGAAACAGGATTAACATTAAAAGATCAATGGTGAGATTCGACGAGTAGTAGTTTGCAAATGATTATGCTCTTAGCTTGATTAACTTTGATTTGAATGTATAAGTAGAAACGACATAACACAATTGAAGTGTATGTCCAATATTTAATGCAAAATTTGACTTGAGATTGGAGGCTGTTGATTAGGGCATGGTACTAAAAAAGTAAAAAATCAAACATGATTTGTTTTCTGTTGCTGAGATTAGTGGTGGAACCGACAACATGGAGGAGTAACATCAAGTCATTATCATAACCACCAAGATCATTATGAAAAGATTGAGGCTTAGCCCATGTTATAATTGTAATGTGGTTATAATTTGAGAGTTGAGCAAGTTGCTAAACGACGACGAAGAAACAAATGGGTTAGGATGCCATGTGAAACCCAGGTGGTGATTAGCCTTGTTTCACGACCGGCCTCCTATCCAACCCAAAAAGGTGGGACAAAAGATTATAGTACCTGTCTTGTCTACTATCAAATTCAAAGCTTTATTGGGCCATGATTGAGCCCATTTTTAGGTTCATTAAAGACGATGATTGTATAATTCATACTACATTCTTCAAATAATCGTATTAGCATATTCATTTTCAGTTCCACATTAATCTAACATTTTTATCTTTTATTCAAGTTGGTCATATTATTACAAGGAAAATTCCCATAAATTAAAAAGCAAAACCCCATGATGTCTAAATGGTACCTTGGTCTAGATAAAATTTGAGAAAGGTGTATAAAAAATGAACTCCTAGAGTTTACAATCCAGTAAAAATATGGGGATGGCAGAGTTGCAAACGCAATCTCAGCTTCCTTCTTTAAGAGCAAGTAGAATGAATTTCCCCCTGCAAATATCATCAAATTTGCTTCTGCAATCCTTTTAATATCCAAAAAGACAGGAGAATTTCTATCTGGTATTATTCCCTCTTGATATTGATAGAAATTTTACATATCAAATGCCATAGAGTGGTAACAAGATTTTTACAAAAGAGTATGCAAGTGCACCTGTGAATATGTAACTATCCACTCTGTCAAGTATTCCACCTGCATGACAATGCACACATGTTAACGTAACGATGACAAAAGGTTTCTCAAGTTTTTTAGCACCAAATTACTCTAGCCAAATCATAGAGCATCTATCTTTCAATTATTTCAAGTAGCAAACTTCTTGGTCACCCTCTTTAGTCTTGGAAATTAATTCAACTTGTAAGATAACTTAAACACGCACAACTATAATTACCATGCCCAGGTATTAGGGAGCCAGAGTCCTTAACACCAGCATCGCGCTTGATCATTGATTCAGTCAGATCACCAAAAACAGACCCAAAGAAGTTCAGAAACCCGAAGGCTATTGCACTGACAATGATGAAGTAAATATGTCAAGTATTTGTTAATAAAAAATTTCAAAAGAAAAATAAACTAAAATATTCAGAGTTGTATAGATGTAGGGTCAAGTTCATAGAATCCATGTTCATTGATAAATATAACAGAGCAATCCAGTCATCCCCATGTTTGGCTCCTGGAATGATGAAAACACTTACACTGATCCTAGTCAAAAGATTTGGTTTAATTTAAAATAATAAAAAATAATCATTTGTCATGGTTACTCAAATTCTGTGTGCATGGGTCTACATACAGAAAGAGACAGAAATCTTCAGAAAACACAGTAGAAGCTCATGGTTCGCATGCACATGGACTAATGGATGTGTGCATGCATATAAAGTACATGAGCCCAAATGGATGTAACCATTGCTTTACATATTAATGAAAATAAATGAATTTGTACACCTTTGGTCCTCTCAATGAAGATACCTTACACTGTTGCTATAGCTTTCCAATCCTAATAGGCTCAAGATATATATCAACCAAAAAAAGAATTCTGAGGCAACAGCTCTTCTTTTGTGGGAATGGATTCTGGTGCTTTTTAAGTTACAGTGGGTGTGTGTGTGTGTGTGAGACAGGGAGAGAGAGCAAGCTACATTTGGATCACAAGATGTTTAGTACAACATTACTTGAGAGATTGATTGAATACCTTAGCCAAGATGCTGGCCAGCTAAAAATCTTTGACAGTACAACAGAAGTTGCTATACAACCACCCAAACCAACAATAGCTCCTTCCCATGTCTTCTTTGGACTTATATTAGTAAGTGGTGTCCTACCAATGGCCTGGATCAGAACAAGGGTACAAAAACAATCAAGGTCATTGGAAAATATGCCCACAAATTAAAATGTAAGGAAAAGTTTGTCCTCATGCCATTTAAATAACTGTATTTTTTGAAATTTGATTGAAAAATAACAAAAAATTTACTAACAAAGTGATGCTAGCAGCTCTCAGCTCTAACATACTAACAGTTTTAATTCAATAAGTGAAGGTCTTGTTGATCAAGCCCATATACCTTTCCACCCAAAAAAGCATATGTATCTGCTGCAATTATGCTGCTGATAGAAATCAAAGTTGCCACAAGGCCAACCGTCCAATGAGCTTGGCCTCCGAGAAGAAAAGGCCATCCTGCTCCTAGTCCTGCCAAAAAGAAGCTGCTTAGTAAAACAGTTTGGTGAAAATCATCACTCCATTCCCCTATTTTTCCTAAACCACACATGAAAATGAACCAGAAGCCAGAAGACAAGAAGTTTCACATCCAAGGAAAGAAAAACTGTTTCAAGATCCATGATTCAGAAATTTCAAAATTCTAATTGAAACCACCAAGTTTTCAGCAAAAACAGTATATAAACTCTGACTTCAAATGAAGAAAATAAATTCCATTTTCAGTTCTAATCAGTCCACTTAGCAAATATCAGTTTTCATGGAAAATTACACAAATATTTGAATTTACCAGCAGAAAAGAGTAAAAATCTAAATTCTTACTAGTATTCAAAGCAGGAGCTGCTAAACCACATCTGAGCTTAACCCAGAAACAAGGGAGGTAGCCACAATAAAATAGCCCAAACATGGTACTGCTCAGCTGAGCAAAACGAGGATTTCCTCTTTGCAAGAGCAATGACATAGCCACAACAAATGCAGCAGATGTCACTGAAATATCAATATTGCCAAAGTACCTGACAATATAGCAGAAACACCAAATAAATTACAACACCAAATCATTTTTAAAAGCTTCTACACGCAAAGTAGGAATTAAACATATTTGGAAGGCAAGCTGTTGCATTCCAAATAAAGACAACGGAACCAAAATCTTAGAAGATCCCTTATAATACAATCAGAGAAGATATGGCATATCCGTCAATCTTACAAGGTAAGTATGGGCATGAGGGCACAGATAACAGAGCACACTCGTGAGACATATCGTGGAGGAGGTGTCATTCCAGCAGCAATTCCACGGCTCCTTACCAACTCAAAATACTCACGTGCACCGAGGAAAACAGCAGCAGCCAAAGCCACAGTGAAAACCCATCCCCCAGCTAATACAGCACCTCCGACAGAGATACCAATACCAAGTCCAAAAACAATCCTTTTCCTCAACTGACCTGATTTATGCTGTTGCTGGGAAAGAGCATCCGCCTTCACCGTTGGTAAAATATGGCCTTTGTCAACTTCCTACAACATAGCAGTCTCAGGAACCATCTTACACAACAGTTTCAATTTATCGATTGAACAAACCTTGAGAATTGAAACTTAGATAATAACTAATCATGCATTCTTTATGACTATTTCCAATTAGCTACCAATCACTTCCAAAATTCTCAAATTCCAAAATTATTCAAAACCCTTAGTTCCAATTCCAAGTTCTCATATTATTGCTTTTCTTAAGAATTGAAGCTCTTCAGACATCAAAATGCAACAAACAATTTTTTGACAAGTTCCAAGTTCTGATTCTCAAGTGAAAAACAAAAAACACAACTTTGAACTCATGAAAGAAACAAACACGAGCACAAGTATAAGTAAAGGTACCTCCTTGGCATTGCTTTCGTCGAGACTTTCCGGTTCAGCTCGCGCCACAGCCGTAATAACCCGCCGGTTGATGTAAATACGGGCAGAACGAACCGGGACGACCAATTCGGATCCATCAAAGACTAACTTGAGCTTGAGTTTAGGGACTCCCCTTGTACTGAGAGTTAGGGTTTTGTTGTATAAGGGACGGCATGGGCAACCGCAAAGTGAACTCACTGAGAGAGGAATCAGATTGTACCGATCGATTTCGACGAAGGAGGCCATAAAAAATGGAAGCAATAATAAAATTAATAAAATGATAAATCTTTTTTTATGGGGGAAAATCTCAACTCATGTTTTCATTGTGGTTGGTTCGGTTTTTTTTGAAGGATTTGAGGAGAGTTTGGAGGGACGATTCGGAGTTTTTCGAGCTTTTTGAGGTTCGAGGATAGTCTTTGCCTTGTTGGTATTTTACGGGGAACGGTTAGGTTCGTCATGTACAGTTCGTTCCTCGGGGTAATTATGGAATTGGGGAAAATAAAATTATTAGTTTAATATTAATTTTTTAATTCTTAAAATAAAATCTTACACATTTTCCAGGGAAAATTAGTAGAGGAAGAGAAATTTGGAGGGAAAAAAAAAGAAGATATGCAATTAACGACTTTGTTATAGCGACGGGGAAATTACAGGGGTAAACTCGTCCTGGAAATGAACGGGATATAAGAGGTGAAGGAGTGAAAGGCAACAGAAAGAATGGAAACCCCTCTTTGGATTCTTCAACTCAAAGTCGAGCCGGAAATCTAAAGGGGAATTATAATATACAATGGCGAAGCGCAGAATCTCGAATTCTGAATCAGAAGATAGTGAAAATGAAGAGAAGCTAAGCGAAGTAGAAGTAAAGCCCAAGCGAAAACAGCAGGATATATCAGAATACGAGAAGCAGAGGCTATCGAGAATCGCGGAGAACAGAGCCAGAATGGAGGCTCTGGGTCTGTCCAAAATGGCTTCTTCTTTGATGGGCTCGTCGCGGAATTCGAGTAAGCTTAAAGGAAAGGGCAAGGTCGTTGAGGATGATGAAGATTACAGGCCCAATGATGAGGAAGACCATGACGACGATGATAATGATGATAAACTTGATGATGATTATGATGATGAGGAGGACTTTCGGAGTAAGAAAACGCCTCAGTCTCGTAAAAACAAGGTGGGTGCTCAGTTACAATTCAGCCCTTTTTTGTGTTTAAGGAGCCTGAAAAGTACATTTTTGAAATAATAAGTATGGTCTAATCCTAAAATTAATACAACATTCGATTAAGTTGTTAGGAAATGAAACCACTTCTAAGACTTGTATTTGCTCTCTGGTTGTTGCTTGTTTTGCTCTTGGTGAAGTTGATGATAAAGTTGAATTTTTTTAGTGTAAACGCTATCTTAAGGTTTTAAGGACAATGAGTCTCCTTTTGTTTTACGCTCTATTTTTTATTTGCTTTGGTTTGTGTTTTAGCAGCAATGGCTAGGGGGACTACGTGTATACTGTACCATTAATGGTCATACTTCTCGCCTTGAGCCATCTAGTTATTGTTAAAGAACTTCTTCGATTTTCTCTTTCTCCAGGTGAAGAATAAAGGCTCAAAACCTAAGAAGAAAACTCCTGTTCAAAAACATTTGAGTAGTTCAGATTGTGTTGGTGATGATGATGAATTGATGAAGGTCAGTTTTGATGACTAATGGAGCAAATATTGTTTCCATTGCTAGGTTCTTGAGTTGTTGAGCTTGGTAGAACATATTGCCCAGCTTTTGTTACCATGGATCTTCAGTTTATTCTAAATGTTTAGTTTTATTGCGAGACTAAGCTTTTGGGAGTGATATACAGGCAATTGCTCTGTCTCTGCCAGATTCTGGTGAAGTTTCAGGTGCTGTACAAGCAGATGTGCAAGATGCTACTTTCACTGAAAGAAAGGGGAATGCTCGATTAAAGAAGAAAAAATCGGTTTGTTTGATTCAGAATTGGTGTTTAGATTTCAAGAATTACACTATTTGGCTCTCCTTCCCCTTAATTTGTATTTTCTTGGTTTTCTTTTCGTTTGTGGATCACAGTTCACCACTCGGGTGCAGATGACTGAGGATGAAATGGTTGTGCACTTCTTTCAGTTTGATGGTAATTTCTGATGCCTGTCCATGTCTCTCTCTCTCTTATGGAGGTGCATAATTTTAACAAAGTAATCTTACCGTCAAAAACTTAGAAAATAGGAACCATGTGCGTTTTGCATTAGCATTGCTCTTGAAAATCTAAAAGCTTATAGGCCAGCAGAATCTTGTACTGGAGAGTTGCATCCCATTTGAGATGCTACAAGTTATTTTATGTGATTCCTGCTAATTTTGCCGTTGAAAATCATTCCCCAAATTAGTCGGGATTTGTTCTACCAAACAACCTCAGTAATTATATAGCATTATCACGGCATGTGGAAGAAATTGGTGCCAAAAGCTCTGGTAACAGCATTTAGCTAAGTAGTAGGATTTTGGTTTATTTGCCTAAATTGCATGTTTCAATAACTCGAAACCTATTTCTGAACCCACTTAATGCACATAACACTATATCAATTATTAGTATTATTATCTCTCTACTCTTGAAGATGTTTTTGCTCATTGATGAAAAGCATTGTTGGCTACCAGAGGCTGGAAAAGGAAGCATTTCTATGAGAGATTTACGAAGAGTGGCTATTGCATATGATTTTATTTGGACAGATAAGGAGTTGTCTGATATGATCCATTGCTTTGATGGCGACAAAGATGGGAAGGTCCGTACGTACTTTAGGTTGTAATTTTTCCCCCAACAAATAACTATGTATAAGTGAGTTATGGTCTATGTTGGTAAAAATGGAATGCCCCATGTTCTTGACATTTATTCTCTGATCAAAAGAAAAACATAGAAGAAGTAAATAAAGTTCATTCAGCATTGTTTATCTTTGTGTGTCAGTGCTCCCAAACTGGCAAGGGCCGGCAGGTAAGGAGTAGGTCTTTCAACAATTTTCTCTTGAACCATTGTCAGTTGCAGCACGTGTCACATGTAATGCTTGCCTTGATCTGAAGTTTGGAAACTAGCATATTAGCTTCTCATTGCATTGTAAACATTCATGACTTCCAAGATGATATTTGACTCCTATTACTTAATTAAGAATCTACTCAACCTTTCCCATTGGTTTCCCTGCAGCTAAATCTTGATGATTTCCGGAAGATTGTCAGCAGATGCAACATGTTACGAACATCTGCAAATTCTTAATGAAATTGCAGTATTCTCCTTTCTTTTATTGTACAAGTTATCAGATAAATGTGTTTAAGCTCAAATCTATAACATTATTCTAGTTATAATCTGAGCAAAGAAACAGCATGATCACCGCACATGCATGTGATTATCATTCCCATTTCTCTTACCAAAACTCAGGGATAAATTCCACTTGCAAAGTGTTTATAAAGAAGTTGGGCACAACTATGAAATCCAGTAATTCCCACTTGAAAGATCTACTGTCAATGCATGGTAATACAATGAAGGAAAGTTGCTTCTTACCCGTCACACCTTGGGGCATGTTTTTCTAAGAGTCCATAAAGACCAGTAAGTAATACATTCAACAAAGGCTACACCTCAATACGTCAAACATTTGTTTTTTGTTTTTTAAAATTTTCTACATTTCATTTTTTACCAGCCATGAAGTTGCATCAAAGAACGAAAGGGTAAAACCTGGTGGTCATGTTCTTTTCAAAAGGTATCCCAAAACGATGCCAACCAAGCCGACAAGAATTACATACATGAATGGAATACCACCATGACTTCTATTGGCTTCTCGTCTCAAGAGATCCTGCAAATTACATTTCAATGTAAGGCTGCAATACAGCTATTAATATAACATAACCCCGTGGTGTCGTTGATGTTACATGATTACCGGATTACAAATTGTCAGCAGCATTTTCTATTTATTATTTTTCATTTTAAATCCCTTTTCCTTTTAAGTCTCTCTAACCCTTTGTAGAATCTCATTTTCAGTCTCTGTTTCAACACAGAGACAATGGTAAGTTATTGACAACTGGATCATGACGGCGGATGAATGATCATGCAATTACATAGCTAACATATTGGCAATTGGTCCTTAATTCCTTAGCCTTTTTGTTGTGTCTTTAGGACCCAAAGATTTAATTCCATAGTACTCTGCAAGAAAATCTTAGGAAATCGGCAGTAACTTACCAGTTCCTGCTGAAGCTTGTTATTTAGATTAACGGCAGAGTTTTTCTCTTCAGTTAGCTTGGAAATAAGAGATCTTGCCTGCAATTAAAAGTATTATTCAGAGTAAAAATGCCACAGTGTAGCATCAACGATTCAAGTAGATGATAATTCTCTAACATATTTCTATTAGATTATTATTATAGTAAATCACGTAAAAGAGCCATGAACATGGATATGATGATTAAAAATTTAGCATTTATTATCTTAAAAGGTGATGGTTCCGCATCTAAAGCAGGGCATGTGAGATCCATACGTTTACTCCTAATTGGCATCAGGATAAAAAAGACAACTAAAAGATTATCTAATCCAAGTGCTTAAATCACCCAATATCACCTAGATGGGGTTGTAATAATGATCAAAACCACTATCTGGATGAGGAATTTCAGTGACGACAGGATTGTCCAGCATATGGGGGAGACTTTTCATCATATCAAAAAAAAGGGCGACGAGTCCTTCCATATCCTGGAGACAGTGTTCATATTTTTGCACTCCTAACTAGTCCTAATTGACAGGTCTAAACATGCACCAAGAAAATTGAAGAAAAAAAAAAATCAAGGTAATATCACCATCCAAGTGACATGCATGTTCAGCCCTACTATAGGAATTTTAACATGAAAATAATTTGCTTATTATGAGGGAATCACTCTCTGTACATAGAAGTTAATTAAAAGACAACAAAAGTTACAAAAGCATATGAACTAGATAAGGTTAAAACAAGGAAAGAAGTGCCATATAGCATCAAAGGGTATATTAAAATTGCTCTCTTTATACCACTATGTATGGCCCGCATGCAGGCCTGATGCTAAGATAGTAATTTTCATTAAAATTGAATATCATATGACACCTAGTCTATCCCGAAAGAAAGTAATGACAACCAAAACGACTACAACTTAACAAGTAGATTTTCTTCCAACTGAAGAAATGAACCCCATAATAATGACATGATAATGATAAAAATACCTAGTAAACTAACATACTTAAAAACCCAAAATCAAGGTGGTCAGCGGAACCATGTTCGATAATGGGTGAGTTATGAAAAACACATAGGTCAAGAAAATTTCCTCACTAAAGATTCATGTATTATTACCAGTATTGCCAATGCATTCTTCAACTTGTACAGTTCAAAAAATTAATTACGCTATTTTCCTAAACTATGCCAAATATGGAAATGAAAAAGCCAACCATATGCAATTACTACGAACTGCTATCATGAATGGCATGATTCACTTCATTGGTTTAGATAAAGCCTGCCAACATTCCTTACAAGGGCTTTGAAAATTTAATGCTCGATGCTAAAGTACCAATGAGAGAGAGAGAGAGAGAGAGAGAGAGTGTTTACATCAGATGAGTTATCTTGAGGTTCATGCTGCTCAACATGAGCTCTTGACACCTGCAGGTACAATCATGTAACCACAACACAACTCATTAATATTCAGAGGGAACATGCTGATCAAGACTAAATCCTTAGTCAAAGTCAAACACCAAAACAAGGAATTCTCACAGCTGTAAATTCTGCAGCATTCAAGCTGCCATTGTCTGAGACTGAAGCCCTAGGTGAAGAGCCTTCCTCAGATCCTTCTCGAACTGGGGATGGAGGTCGTGGAAGGGCAACATAAACAACCCTCAACTTGCACTCCTCAACAGGATGCCCAGATTCCTTATTGAACTAACATATTTAAAAGCAAACAGTCAGAAAACAAAAACCCATTTTGCCAAATCCCATCCAATAGAGTTTCTATAAATACCATCTCTGGAGTTATATCCTTTGGTGTAGCTCCAGGACTAGCAACCACAGTCTGAAGTAAAAATTTATCCTTGCATTGCATATCAGCAGGTACCTCCTTTTGAGCTTGCATTGTAACTGATATTCCATAAATCAACCGATAAGTAACTTCGAAAAAGAAATTATAAAGTTGATAGTAAAGCTAAATAGCTAATGATTACCATGAAATTAACAGACAAGAAAAGAAGAAATAAATTACTACAATTAAACATGATTAAATAAAAAAATGATAGCTAAGTCCAGATTTTGTGCGAGAGAGGGACAACGAGAGAAACCTATAACGTTGCACGTAGACCTAGGCAGCACAACTCCAGTGTTAGGCCTTACACAGTACTTCTTTGGATTTGTTGTTTTGACCTGCAAAAAAGACAAACAAAATTCACATCCAAAAGATACGCAGACTAAGTAAAATCAAAGTCTTTTAGGTAAAAGAAATCCCAGATAAAATTTCCCAGAAGAATCTTAAGAAATCCTTCGGGGAAAAAAATAGCAGACATACGAGATTTAAGAATAAACACAATTACCTTAAAAGCCACATAATTGTCGGTCTTGTTGGACAAGTTTAGAGAACACGAGATCTGCTTCCTCAATTCAACTAATTCAGGAACAGGAAATGTTAAGAATTAGAAAACAGCTGAAGACGTAACTTATAAGCAAGACATGGATCTGGAAAGCAGCGCAAAGCTGTAAAATTTTGATAAGGAAAGGGTTCAGGATGATGCTTACAGGGAAACTGGAGCTCCTGAGGCTCGATGCTGAGGAGTTCGCCGGTGCTCATCGCGACTGGATCGGTAAGACAGGCCACCGGAGTTATAAGCGATTAGGAGCTGCCGGCAACGATTCAAAAGAGGCGGTGGAGTTTCTGGTCCACCGGCGAGAGAGGAAACCAGAGTGAAAAAGATGGGGGTAAGTGAGAGACAGGGATTTAGACAATGGGTGACTGGTCTTTGAGAGAGAGCTGAAAAGCAAAGAGAGTGGGACAGTGATGTTTGTCTTGCTTTCGACTTGACTGCGGTTGTTTCCGGTTCCCAATTTTACAGTATCATGCGGTTCCATTCAAGGCTATAATTGTCTTTTTGTCCCCCGATGATGTGGACTTTCGAGTTTGAAAGTACACCCCCAAAAGAAAAGGAACACACTTTCTCTTCTAAAACCCAAATTATCTTCCGAGAAAATGAGAAAGAAAAATTGTTGACTGTTTGGAAATCCAAAATTCCAAGTACTACTCTCAAACCCCGCCCCCCCCAAAAGATAATGGAGTAGCATGTAAGGCACAACATAGATTTGATGACCCCTTTGTCGGAATAAACAATGAAGTTAGTTGGGTAGTCTTGAGTACTCGCAGGTGGAGATTGAGAATGGTAGGCTGGTAGCAACTATCACGAAGCAACTCTTGGTGGAAATTTTTGGTACCAATGAAGGAGAATGTAGGGGAGCAATCTGCTCATTTTCTTGCCTATTGAACTCTCGCTCATTCATCTCCCTGCCCCTGTTGCTTATCATTCCTGCTTCATTTCCTTGGCTATTCAACAGGTTTCCTCCAATCTTGTCATACCAAAGACTGCATTTCTCTCCAAAATGCTCTTTTCTTTTATATTTTACCCCTAAAATCCCTGCATTTTCTGTTGTAAAACATAACCAAGCTTAATGTATATACCAGCCACCTGAATATCTAAGTAGAGTTTCACTCCTTTGGAGTTTCAAACAAGCATTTTTACCTTTTCTGATCTGTTATAATACTGGAACATAATACTTTTCACCCCATGCATGAGATGGGTGAGATACAAACAGTTGGTGACATATATATCTTCCATCAACCCTATTGATACCTCTGCATTTATTTGTGACATTCGGAGCACGCCTCCTCTTATCATTCAAAGAAAAAACATTTCTATAAGCTATTCAATGCAAATAACATTTCTTACATGTATGTTATCAGGCTGCCTAATAAATGTACTATAACAAAATGTAGAGACATTTTATTTGATTTGTATGCTCTGTATAACAAAATGTAGGGAGATTTTCTTTGATTTATACACTCATAGATCCTATATCAAGTCACAATTCTGCTTTTAGTTTATGATACCAGTAGTAATTAGCATTAAGCATCAGCAGAAGCAGAAGACTGCTGTTGACGAGCTCGAGCAGTAAATCCAGCAAACCAAGCAACCCTCATGAGTTGCATGCCAAGGATAAGCACCCACCAGCACACCAGGCCCCTGATAGTGTGCATCATCCATGCTGGTGCACTGAGTTCAGCCCCAAGTTTCAACCCCCTCATTAGCTGGAGCACACGGTAAGCCTCATACACAACTGGGGTCACCAACCAAACCGGTGACTGCCAATGCCATGTCAACATCTCAGTCAGCATCTGTACTGAAAGAAGCAGAATGTAGGGGCCCAATAGAACTGCATATGGGATAAAAGGCAGCTGAGGTTGGAGGTAGCCCTTTTGGGATCCAAATAGTATCATCAAGGGGATCACAAGTCCAGTCAAAGTTGCAACTATGTTCCAGAACTGATAACTGAAAGGAGGCTTGCTCTTGGAAGCTTGTCCCAGGTTCTTTGACCGGGCACAATAATCTGCCATGAGGAGAAAAAGGGTTGCACCCAGATTGAAGATGCAATCAAGTCCAATCAAGGAAAGAAGGCTGACCACATTCGGGCCAAGGAATACGGTAGATATTGGCAACCACAGAGTGGGCACCATGCCTGTGCTGAGGAGAAGAGAAGGGCCCAGCAACCACAATGGCCACTTAAGAAACTGAAGCTGCACCACTGGCTGATTAGTTGCATCTGTGAGATCTTCAGCTTTAGCTGCTGATGCTTCGCCTCTGTTGTCAGAATGCAGAGTTTCAAATATTTCAGATGATTTTTCCAAGAAGTTATCACCAGCTTTCTCAGTTGGAGCATATGTGACTGGTGAAGGTTCCCACTTGGATAACTTTGTGCAGCAAACAGGGAACTGCCTAATGTGGATATGACGGAAGGCGAGCACAAGTGGCACCTTTGAGGCTTTCAACAATTGCATGCTTTTGGAATGAGCTTGAGGAATTCTAGTGATGGACATGGTAGAAGGAGATTGAGCCAGAGAAGCCATTCCTTGGTTCATAACTAATATCTTCAGCAGCCCAGATAAGATGACGTGGTTTTTATTCTCTGAGACATATGCAAGATGTTAGTAGGAAAACTTGATCCTGAAAGATTAAACATCATTGAATGGCTGTTTCCTAATAAATTTCTCTTTGTAGAACCATAAACTTTCAGCAATGTTATGCATGAAATACAAATTATGTTAATGAAAGCACTATAATAACGCACTCTCCAATCTCAAAAGCTCCTGATTGGATAAATGCAGTGGAAGAAGCGAAAAAAAATAAAAGTTTGTATGACAACTGTCCAAGTACTTACTGATATCACAACAATTAAGCATAAATCTCAGTTAAAGAGCCACCATCTTCAATGAAGAAACTCTTTCCAGCATCTAAAACTAGTGACAAGTATAACAAACTTGCATCTTGCCAACACAGTCAAAGCCAGCTTACATGTGTAAGAAAGCAATGCAATGTTTACTTACCGAAAACCAATAGCTACTAGATATTTTACACAGTAGGGAATTTGTAATTTATATATTTTTTTTCCTCACAAAGAAAGAAAGACAACTAAACCATCCGAATCTCAGTAAAAATAAAGGCTAATTATAATATTTGAATTAGATTTTATTATTTAGACTATAAATCATACTCTTTGAATGGCCGATTAACAATTCATCATTGGGTTCTCTATGAATTTCATAAATAACAAAATATAGTTCTTCAAAACCTTAAGAACTAAGCTCGAACAGCAACCATATCTCCAAATGAAACAACCACAATTACTATGACAAAGTAAAATTGAGAGTTCAGAAGTCGAATTTCTATAATAACTAATCAGAACTGAGAAGAAAAGGAAAAAGAAGAGAATTTTACAAATTAGTGTCGTAACTAATAAACTTGATTGTTGTGAATAACTCAATCGAATATACTAAATTAAGTACCTTCTGAACAAATTTCTTCCCCATAAGAATAAAAAATTAATTTAAAAAAATCCGGATTTACCTGGTTGAATAGAAAATGAATCCACAAGCTTGCCTTAGCTCCTCGCGATATTCATCCCCATTTCTCAGGGAGCATGCTGCTTTGCTGAGAGTGGGAAAATCCTACAACCAGAGCTCTTCTACTTTTCTTACCCTCTGGTTTTCAATTTTAAGTGGCAGGAGTAAAGAAACGTTTTTTCCTTTTAGTTCTCCGGCCGAAAGGGAATTGTTTTTACTTCTATAAGGCGTCAGAACAGATCCGGTTCGAGTTCAAGGCCGGGCCTTCGATTGACAGTAAGCTAGGAACACAGGCTACATGGACACCAAGCCCGACCAGACATGTTGGGAATCAGGCCCTGGTTTCTCCTTTGCCAGGAACATGACAGATTTAAAGAGTTCATGGCTTCAAATAGAGCGTGAATATCAAAGAAGCAATTTAGCAATTTTTAATATAAAATCAAAATTCATAATGTTGGAGAGAACAACATTTATCATGTAATTAAAAGTTTTTTTTAAAAAAGAAACGCTATCACTTGTAACTTTTGTTTTGTAACTGGAAATTAATTTATCCAAAGAATTTTGCTGTGAAAATCATTTTATTAAAAAATTTAATATTTTTATATTTTAGATAAATTAAGAATAATACTTTCTGTTATCACCCTGTAAAAATTATTTTGCACCATGATTTCATAAATTTTTCTCTAAGATATCAAAAAAATATAAATATTTATCAATCATTTAAGTAGAGGCACAACCAAAGGAGTGACAACCGCCGCTCCTCAATTTTTAATTTTTTTATTATAAATAAAAAATTTAATATCTATAATATGATTATTTTTATACTTATTTATTAATCACTCTTAATGTAAAATTTTGGATTCGCATTTCTTACTCTTTTAAAAGATTCCGTTGATAAGAAAATTTTGAGTTCACTTTTTGTATTTTCTCTTTTCCAAACATAAGAATATGTGAAAAAAGAAATTGTGATATTATTTACACCTATAATCACACTTCATGTTATGGGACTTTTTATTACTGAGTAAAAGATTTTGAATGAACCCCAACGCCTCTAACTACTGTGTAATAGTAAGACATGTACTTTCCCATGTCAAAGGACAGCTTCACCAGGTGGTTTTTCATGAACAAGGAACAATTTAAGGGAAAAAGAATGCATGAGATTAAGCAGGTGTTAAAGAAAAAAAAAAGACACTTGGTGTAAGAAGGCAGATCAATCCTCATAAACATATCAAAAATGTATCAGTAATTGACTGCAGGATGCACCTGCATTTGTATCCTAAACCCAAAAAAAAAATAAAAGGAAAACTATATGACCACAATAGTAGGAGGTACACTATGTTCTAAGGCCACGGCGGCAACATGTTTCATAAAATTCCTGTTCTGTTTTCCCATCAGAGAATGGGGATTGGGGAGCTAAGTTGGAACGAGTGTATGAGATCAGAGTCTGGCAAGTTGAGAGGAGGCAAAGAAAAATGGCCGTAAGTAGAGCTGCCTCTCCTAATTTCTTGCATGGTCAACAGAGCTGCAACTGTGTTTCTAAATATTCCTTTCCCTGCCACCGTTATTGCTTCCCTTCGTTCTTTCATCCTGTCTCCTTCGTCCACTGGAAATACTTCATCTATGGTGTTTTCACATTCCTTAACCAGCTTGGAAAGGAGATCAGTTGTGAAAAATGGTTGCTGCAGCACTTTCTGGATGAAGGGCAAGCGCAATAAGCCACCCGTTCGCTTGTCATATTTCTTCAATATCTTTGCCAAACCTGCGGAACCCAAAACATTGCCTGGTAAATTTGTTTACCAAAGAAAGGGAAAAGGCCAATTTCTACAGGACTACGGCTCATGATAATATGGAACAAAGCTTGTCATGGTGACTACCTGTGTAATTGACATTGCTATAATTCTCTAAGAGTACCATTTCTCCATGGAAATCGACAATGTCTTTTCTAATTTTTGCCATTCCATCTCTATAATCTGTTTTTGATGGCTTAGTTCCATCCGGCCCCCATGTATCTATCACTCTCTTAATCCTCTGTTGCAATTCCTGAAATTTATAAATCCTTTGCTTCAAATTTCTATTCATATTATTTTTAAATATCAAGTAATTGAAAATCGAAATTCTACCGAGAACTTAAATGGATCGATGTTGAATACAATATCTCGAATGTCTAGTAACACGCTTGATTAAAATTCTAATTATTTTAAAAAGTATTCATCATTTGTGGTGAGAATTTAATTATTATTATTTTTATGTAAAAAAACATGTCAATTGATTTATTAAAATAAATAAATAAATAAATAATTGGCTTCCTTAGAGAGATACACACTTGCTAGCGCCTAGATCAATCTTTCTTGTATCAGATACTGAAGAAGGAAGAAAAACACTCCTATTGCGTGCTTTTCCCAACTTCTGGAGTTAGCCTAGGATTGTTTGATGAGTCATTTGAGTTGACTCAGTTGAGTTCACTAACTGGCCGACCAAAAGTGCTGCACTTAACAGTTACTACATTTATATTTTAATCTTTCTTTTATTTCATGGCCATGCCAACCGTTTTCATGGTAATAAAACTTACCTTATGTCGGATGATGAAGTCCTCCTCTTGTTCCATGAAGAAAACATTAAACTTATCGATCTCATTGTTCAACAAGTACACAAATTTGGCCTCCGCCTTTCCATACTCCATCGACTCCACCGACAGCAGCGGAGCCGAAGAAATCAACCTAACAAGCTTCTTCAGCTCCTTGTAGGACAAGAATTTGTCCTGCCAGGCCGGTAAAGTTTCCTCGATTTGCTGCTTTAATCTCTTCCCAAACTTCATTTCTTTAAAACCCGAAATTGAATTCACCGAAAAGCAAAAAAAAAAAAAAAGAAAATGGTGAAAGTGAAGATTTTTGATGATGAAGAAGAATAAATGATTTGATGCTAATGGTTATATTAGGCAAAAGATTAATAGAATATTAAACAGCATATGCTTGGCGTGATGAAATGGCAGTTGGAAAAGGTAATAAGAAGTTGTTGAGGTGAGGAGAATTCCCAAGCATATTCGGGTATTGTAGTCATACCAAGCACCATTAGACCAATTTCATATTGTAGTGAATTAAATGTAGGCAAGCGGGCTAGCTAGGTAGGTTAAGGGAGGACTAAATTGACATGCTGGTGAGTTTTTGCTCGAATAAGAGTGGGGAATTGCCATCATCAATGAAATGGGTCCCACGCCCACAGTCTGTCTTCATTGGTGATGTGAGAAAAAGATTCGTGAATGATTGTCATTGTAGTGATTGTCAATGGAAAGAGAGATTTTGGGGAGAGGATGATTCTTGGAATGATTCCTCAGAATCTCCTATGGGAACGGAAGCAGTAACTCTGCATGGCATGGATATGAATATATGCATTGAAAAATGTATAGTAGCATACCTAAACAACTTTAGAAAAAAGGAATATGTGATTTTTTGATCTTTGGAAAATGCCAATTTTTGTCTTTTTTTTATTGCATGCAGTCCCATGCCTTTTTAATAATTTGTTTGACTGATAGTAATATGTTTATTTTTTTCCCCAAAGTTTAATTGGATAGGCAATAAAAATGTGGAAAGGCAAAATCAAAGATGTAAGAACATGCAAGGGTGAATTAAATTAATCAAATAAATTTGATTCAAAATGGTTCAATTAATTCAAAATTAAACCCAATTAAATCTATTAATTTGATCAATTTTTTATTTTGAAAATACTTTTTTCGATTAACAGAATTAATCAATTTATCATGTATATAGGTATGTATTTTTGTTTATGTTTATTTGAACCTTTTAATAATTTTAATCATATTTATTGAAATATTTTAATATTTTACGAAGAATTTATAACTTAATTTTATTTATTTTTTAATTAGTATAGAAAAATGATATTAAAAATATCAGGCTTGAGTTTAAAAATTTCGGTTAATTCATTATGAACCAAATTAATCTATTTAATTTGATTAATCAATTAATATTTAATTTTCTGTAAATTCATTTGATTTTTAAATAATATTAATTAATTTAATTATGGAAAATTTTAAATAATTTAATCTCATTAATCTTTTGTTCACTTTGAAGGCTTGATAATATGGCCCATTGGTTCGGACATCACTTTTAAAATGCGGGCTTTGAACATATAAGCATTTCCTATCACGGCCAATTCCCAAAACAAATGAGAAGCTGTCTCTGCTCTGTCAGCACGCCTATGGCCATGGCTTTGAGCTCGCATGGGCTTGGCGGGTTACTTTGCTTGTATAAATGATAAAATGAATATAATATAGATTTTTTTATGTTTTTTGGTTCTAATTCTAATTGTAAACCAAAATTTAAATAAAATATAATATAAATATAATAAATTTAATATACATACTTTATGTAGGAGCGTGACACGTCAAATGGTCATTTTTGAAATTTTTGAGGGAAGTTTGCGGAATTTCACTTATCTTTCTTGTTCTTCTTTTGTTTTTCTTTCTTTGTTCTTTTCTCTCCCACAATCAGCGTCTAAGGCTTTTTGTTTTTGTCTTTCCCTCCACTTTCGACTCCCTCTCACTGTAAGAATGTGTCATTGTAAAACTGGTGTGAAAAATTGCAAATCATGGCATTGAATATGAACGTACAAATTGAATTTGCAAAATAAGAATAAAAATGAAATATTTGCGTTTTACTCTTTTCCTTCTTTTCCATGTTTGAGGAGAAGTCGACTCACCAGGCTAGCCTTTCGAGTCAGACGTCACTACTCAGTACTCACCAGGCTTAGTTCATTACATCCCTAATAAACAATCCAGATGTTGTCTCTCCAGGAACCGAGGAAAGAATAAAAAGAGACAATATTAAACCTCCCCAAAGAACATGGCCGGCTTGATCCTCTTCAACTACCCTACCATGGCTTTTGGTCCACTCCTCAATACCTACAAGGTGACATTTTATCTCACCAATTTTTCAAGGCTGCACCGAGCGGTATCTTCCCAAAAAGCCGAGTTACATCAGTGGAGGATCTAACCGAGTAGGGGATCCAAAGGTTCAAGACAAAACTCTATACGTAAGACAAAACTGAAATTTATCCAAATTTCCTTGTTGCTGCATCTCTTTGTATTCGAGATGTAAGTGGTTCTCCTGCATGTCAACTGCTGTTATCATATCGACTCTGTTTCATCTTTTGTAAGTCAATAATATGCATCTTATTTTTGTTGGATTTTCAGGTCCCTTTCGGTGCGGCTGGCCATAGTCAAAACTCAGGTACTATCGCATTGTATTGATTGCCTCATTGCTCAGATTTATTATTAAAGAGAAGGTACTTGCCAAGGAAGCTGCCAAAGCAGTGTTTCTTTTCTTTGAAAGCAGGCTATAATTGAATTTTCTGGTAATGCTGTTTGAGGGTGACTGGGCTTTTCCATACTTGAAGCTGCCTCCTTTATTCATGAACTGTTATGTTGGACTCAATGCAATTTGCCCATCATTTTAATCATTTTATTACAACTCAAAAAAAAGAGAGAGAAATAAATAGAGATGATAATAATACCTGAAGTTGGCATTTGGTTGCAATTGCCCCTTCATTTTTCTTTCTTCTAAAAGTTGAAGGGGAGGGAAAGAGGGAAACAAAACACTTGCTCGAGAAGTGTCCCTATCAAATTTTATTTTGACTAAGAGCCTCCTTTAGATATATATATATATATATATATTTATATCTATCTCAAGCTCTTCTCTCTGTGTATTTTGACCGGGATCCCTCACTTGGCAGCCTACATGACTAATTATATCCTATTTTCAAGATAGCAAAACAATCTCACTAGAAACCCTTAGAGAAATTCTATTTTATGAATTAAAAAGGCTTAAATCACTATTATTTGCAAGTTATCAGAGCCCCGATTGTTCGGGCCAAATTTTCTAATCGCTCCTGTCGAAGAAAGTAGTGTCAAAAAGCAAATGCATAGGACTCTGGTTATTTTAGAGAAGGGAACAAACCTCAAACCAGGAAAATGATGGTTACGGGCATTCAATGAATTAATTCCTCAGTAAAATCTAGCAATTTTAGAGATGAATACTTGCCATACTCGAATTTCAAATATGACTTAATATATCTTAATAGTGTACGCAGGTGCCTAGGTAATATCAGCTTTAGTACCATGTATCATCACTGTGAATAATTCCATAATGCGTTCATTCTCATGTGAATACATAAATATGGCAGCAGCTTTCAACATGTGTGATTAGCACTTTTCAATTGTCCCTTGTTTTTTCTTTCCTCTAGAAGTTGAAGGGGGAGGAAAAGAAGGTAAGAAAACACTTGTCTGAGAATTTATGCCTGGGCGAAAATTATAGATTTTGACTAAGAGCCTTTTTTAGGAAATACGCAACTGACGAATCTGGAGTAAATATTTGACTCTCTTTTTTGTTTTAGTCTCATGCCTTCTCTCTGTATTGCATTACTTAACTAACGGAAATTCTGATTTATGGATTTAAAGGCTTTGCAACATTTATGTGTACTTAACTAATGGAAATTCTCATTAACAATAAACATGGGCACACAGGTTGGTTTGCAGCCCCCGATTTGGAGACACACTTGCAATGGTCAAAAGCTGGCGTGAGCTCGCTTTCTGAAGTTAAAAGAACTTGAACAACCTTTCTGTAGTTTTGAATGTGTGTCCGTATATTCTGTGTGCTGCAGTGACTGCTTCAAGAAACAGGAAATTCTATTATTATAAAGTAGAACTCAATTACAAGTACAATTGAAGACGGTGGGTAGAAAACAAAGAAAATCATGTCTGCTTGTTAGTGAGGGCAATGAATGAACCAGAATGGCGGTGAGAATGAAGATCGTAGATATCGCAGGTTATCTGACTTGGGGAAAAGATCTAGCGTCTCCTTTTCCTCATAATTGTAGATGCCTATATCAGGACCCCTAGAATTATCATCCTTAGTGAAGTAAATACAGTTAGACCTGCAGCCATGGTAATCTGCAGCAATGACAGAGAAAGTGTAGCAATTTCCCAAAAATAAGAATGCGTCACACCAGTGACAGAATTCTCTCCCAGTTCCTTGTTTCCATATTCAGCTTAAAAATATCAAATTCTCTTGTGAAAAAGTCTTCTTCGTCATCGTCAGAAGTATAAATTTCTATCTCTTCTTCGCTATCAGAAGTAAACCCTTCTTCGTCGTCGGATGTAAACCCATATTGATAAACACTGCGGGATAGCATACAAAGGTTTCCACCCATATCAACTAGATATTTAGTATAAAATAGAGAGAATGTTGGAGGCGCCGAGGCAAACTCTACTGCTTTAGGATGAGATGCGTCTAAGTCTTGACATAAAAAAAGCTGACCATTATCTCGAGCAGCAAAGAAACTACCATTGAAACAAATGACGTCATCGAATCGAATTCTACGGGTAGCTTCAATTAGGGTAGGGGCAGCATTAATAGGAGTCCATGCTTTATTATGGCCGGGTTTTGCAAATGCTAGTAAATTAAATTCAGAATAAATTGCGAAAACAATACAATCTGGAGAAGCAGGATTTGAGGATACCACGAGTTTTTTTATAAAATAATTACGCAAGTCTTCAGAAGTCCGATTTTGCCAATGTTCCTGGTGGGTGAAGGTATTCAGTGGAGGAAGGGCGAGGTTGGCTCTTGATAAAGGATTAAACAATTGAATTTCGAGATCAAGCCCACAGGTTATTAACCAACCAAAAGGAGAACCCCAACACTTCCTTCCTCGGATCTCCGGCAATTCCAGCTCAATGAAGATTTCTGCTGATATCTTGTAAAAACAATGTTTGTCATTGTCCTCTTTCTGTGCAAGCATCAAACAAATAGGGAAGATGATTTCTTTATCCTTGAGTGAAGCTTGCCAAGATCGACAGACTGTACCCATTCGAATACCATCTTGAACTGAGTGAGTCTTATCTGCAATGCATCTTAAAACATCGCCTACAATATTAGCCCAATTTGAAGAACTCTCCCCCTCTGTTAATTCTTCTTTCATCGACATGGACGTGGAGTAGAAAATTAAGAACAAGGTCTAGCAAGCAGCAAGTTTGATATTTTTTTGTTTCCATGGAGACACTTTATATACACAGAAAATCCTCTTAACTTTCCTAATCCTTGTACAATACAATATCTAAACTATTAAGACTTGGAATAAATTACTAATTCTTGTATAACACAATATCTAAACTACTAAGACTTCTAACAAATTACAAATGCTTCTATAGGACACGTAAATAAAAAGAGTTTAAGTTCCTCATTAAAAAGAAAATTCATTATCAACCAAATTGTTTGATCTAATTCGGTTAGTCAAGTAATATTAACTTTCTATCAATTCAATTAATTGAATTATTAAAATTTTTAATTAAATTAATCGTTTTAATCTACGAAGGATTAATAATAATAACGTAGCCTGATGGTGCGGACATCACTTCTAAAAAGTGGCCTCTGCAGTCCATGGTAGGCATTCCGGATCACCCCATTTCCCAAAACAAATCTTTTTAAATTAAATACTTTTTTGGACTAATTGAAATATTTTAATTTTTAGTAAGAATTTATAATTTAATTTGATTTATTTTGTAATTAGTGTAGAAATATGATATTAAAAATATCAAGTCTTAGTTTAAAAATTTTGATTAATTTATTATGAACCAAATTAATCGATGTAATTTGATTAATCAATTCATATTTAATTTTTTGTAAATTTATTTGATTTTTAAATAATATTAATTAATTTAATTATAAAAAATTTTCAATAAATTAATCCAATTAATCTTTTGTTCGCTTTGAAGGCTTGATAATATGGCCCATTAATTCGGACATCATTTTTAAAATGCGGGCTTTGAGGCATTCCCTATCACACCCAATTCCCAAAACAAATGAGAAGCTGTCTCTGCTCTGGCAGCAGCCCTCTTACTCTCATCTTTATCTAAATTAGAATTTTTCTTCAATCTTTTTATTCTCTTTCTTACCCAATCATTTATACCTAAATCTATATGAAACTTTCAAATATTTTTAGTTTCCTTGATTATTTTTTATCCTTTTTACTCTCTCTTCAATTTTTTATCATATATTTTTTCTCATCTCTTCAAGTATTTTTAGCTTTCTTGATTATTCTTGATCCTTCTGACTCTCTGTAGTATTTTTAGTTTTCTTGGTTATTCTTATCCTTCTTACTCTCTCTTCAATATTAGTAATTAGCTATTTTAGTTTACTGTTTAATTTGATTCTTGTTTAGTTTTCTTGATTATTTTTTATCTTTTTTCTCTCTTCAATCTTTTATCAACCCTATCTATAGCACTTTTTCTAATCTTTTTAATTCTCCTCCTTATTCAAGTTTTTAGTTTGCTTGGTTATCTTGATCCTTCCTACTCTCATATTTTAGTTTAGTGTTTAATTTGATTTTTGGTATATGCCTTTAAGATTTTATTTTTTTTATTTTAGTTGATTTGGAATTCTTTATCTATCTTTATTAGTAAAGTTAATTTATTAGTAATATTAATAATAGTAATTTATTAGTAATATTAATAATAGTAATGGGGTTCTAAATAAACCCTCAACCGCATTCTAACATAAGTAATTAACGATATTTCTTCTGTTATTGTTATGTAGATTGGGAGTTTAGTTTGAGATCGAAGCAATTCTTTAAAGAAGTAAGAAGTATAAGTAAATTAGGAAAGAAGATATGGAGAAGCTATGGTTGAGAATGTTTAGCTCTTGAAAAGTTCTATCTATACAGATTATCAAGACTTTAATGTGGATTATCAAAAACAAATTTTAATAATAATATTATTAAGAAGAATATTAATATTGTAACGGTTAGAAATTTATTATATAATTATTAAAGTAATGGGTTTTATGACTATTAATAATATAATAAAAAAATTCTTAAGGAGAAGGTAAAAGGAAGAAGTCTACTCTAGAAGAAGTTAAAAAAAAACAAGTGTTTGAGCAAGATGTGTGAATAAGTATAAGAGAGACACTTGTACTATTTCTATATTTGAGTGACCAAATCAAATTTTCTAGAATATTTCAAAATGAAAGTAACTTATGAACTTTATTATTTATTTCGGGTTGCTTTGACTGCTATCCGTGAAGTGGTTATTTTATGCGAAATAGTTGTTCCACTTACATTAATTATTTCATATGGAGTAGTTGTTTAAGTTGTTTTGTATAAAGTAGTACTTTACTTGTTTTAATTGTTTTGCATGAAGTAATGTTTTATTTGTTTTAGTTATTTTGCATAGAATAGTACTTCATTCTTTCTAATTATTTTCATTATTCTTTGTACAGTGTTATATTTTAAAACAACTTTAAAGAAAATAGATAGTAACTAAAATCAACTATCTACAATGAACAGTTTTCATTTTTCTAAATTTGCTCATTTGTTAGGTGTGTTAGCATTTATTTTTGAAGCAAAAAGACTAATTTGGCTACAATTGAATCTACTTAGGTCTCAAGTGATAAAATATGATTTTGATTTTGAAAATACGTTTTTCAATTAATAGAATTAATCGATTATGATGTATATAGGTAGATATATTTTAATGTACTTTTGTTTATGTTTATTCGAACATTTTAATAATTTTAATCATATTTATTGAAATATTTTAATATTTTACTAAGAATTTATAATTTAATTTTATTTACTTTGTAATTAGTATAGAAAAATGATATTAAAAATATTAGGCTTGAGTCTAAAAATTTTGATTAATTCATTATCAACCCAATTAATCAATGTAATTTGATTAATCAATTAATATTTAATTTTCAATAAATTCAATTGATTTTTAAATTATATTAGCAGCAGGTTTTCGGCCGTGGCCTTGAGTTCGTTTGGGCTTGTCTGGTTTCTTTAATGGTATAAATGATAAAATGAATACAATATATATTTTTTATGTTTTTTGGTTCTAATTCTTATTCTAAACCAAAAATTAAATTAAATAATATAATATAAATATAATTAATCTAATGTACATACTTTATGTAATAGCATGACACGTGAGTTTGTCATTTTTTAAATTTCTTCGGATTTTCACTCCTCATTTTTCTTTATTTGTTTTTCTTTCTTTGTTTTTTTCTCTCCCAAAATCAGGGCTTTTTGTTTTTCTCCTTCCTTCCACTTTCTGACTCCCTCTCACTGTAAGAACGTGTCATTGTAAAATTGGAGTGAAAAAATTGTTAATCATGGCACTGAATATGAATAAACAGTGATATAGGCATTCAATATCAACCCAATTTTCAAAACAAATGAAAATCAGGGCTTTGGTGCCCAGATATAGGCATTCAATATCACCCCAATTTTCAAAACAAAATGAAAAGCAGTCCCTGCTCTGTCAGAAGACCTCTGGCCGTGGGCTTGAGTTTATATGGGCATGGCTGGTCTCTCAGACAACTCAAAAGAAGAGCAACAAAGCAAGCTAATCTTGACCTCTTGGTTTGGATTTAGAGTTTAAACAAATATCAATTTCTGGAAATGGGCCTAGAGTGGGTATCCTACTACTTAACAGTTAACAGGCACTGGAGCAGAGCCCAGAGCTGCTTGCATCCATCTTTGATGACAGACAGCAGTAACCTGTTCAATTGCCCAAGTGTTTAATGACAAAAGTAAAAACGAATCCTTCTGGCTAAGAAGCAGAAGGGAATGGCTACCAAAAGGAAAGTTATCTCTTGGCATTCAAACTGAACTGAAGTGAAAAGTAAATGAATTGAGTTTTGATTTGATTAGAATTTTAGTTTCTAGATAACATTGAGTTATTGTACAATTAAAAAAACTTCTCATTTGGATACTCCCAATCTGGGATCATAACTTCATCTTGTATTCTAGGCGGATGCTGCCTTCCTTGAGGTGTTGAGTATCATGTGGTGTGATCAGATTCTTTTAAAAGCTTCACTTTTGGATACCCTCGAGCTGAGATCATACTTTCCATTTTTTATTTTAGGTGAATGCCACCTTCTTTTGAAGTTAATGAGTGTGAGTGTGTGAGTAAGCGTTTCAGATGAAACTAGAGTGAAGTGAGTGAGGGTTCTTATGAGGGTATTCAAAAAAGCATTTAATTTGTGAGGATATTGAGGGGGAATTTAATTTAATTTTACATATAGTTTTAATTTGTGACGCAATTAAAAGAGAATTTAATCTGTGAGTGATTGTTCTCTTGAGTGTTATTATGAGGTTATGTAGGGAGGACTTAGTCCGGTGATTTAATTAAACACTAAGCCTCCATGCCATCTACAGGCTTTAACAATTGTTAGAGACTTTTACTGACACAAAGCTTGTGTGAAGAAGGAATATGTACAGTTACAAAAGCAGAATTGCTTCATAATATTGAAGGCAATTCTTTTCCACCTTGATCAAATAGACAAAAAAAAGAGAGCTCTCTACCAACAACTAGCAATTGAGTATCCTTCTTCTACTTAAATGTTATTAATCTAAAACTGTGTTTGTTTTACATTTGAGTATAATTAAGTGGTATTTTGTAACTAAAAAAAATACGATTTGAAATCCCCTTTCCCATAAATAAATAAAAAATCATGTTTGTTTAATATGATATAAATACTCAATAAACAAATATATTATTTTGTATATGCAATTTACTTAATATTGAAATCAAATCATATTTGTCATTAACTTGTAAATTTTATTATAGGTTAATGTAAATTAAAAGAAAATTGGTGATTTTGGTTTGAATTCAAGTAAATAAAAACAAAGAGTTGTTGTTGTCAAACAAGATAAATTTCCTTTGGCTAGGTACCAAAGCCAGCTTCCTTACTTTTACATTTTATCGCAGGAAAACGAAAATCAAAGAAAGCTTTTTCTTTCCAGTTTCCTCTCATTTGCCTTTTTCCCATCAACAGACAAGCTCACACGGGGGTGATTTGACAATTAATTCCCAGTAAACAATCAACTTGCTTTGTACCATTGTTTGTTTCAAAGATGCTTTTCTACGTTTTGGGAGCTGTCGTGAAGAACAACAGCCCTATGGACATTTTTTCCAACGTGGAAGT